CCCCAAAACCCCAAAACCCCAAAACCCCAAAACCCCAAAACCCCAAATTTCTAAATCATTTTGATAAAAATTCCTAAACTATAAGTTTAATATAATTAGCTTGATTTAAATGGAGAAAATGACGATACTTAATATTTTAAGGCAAGAAAACAATGCTAGACCTAAATCATATCTTGAATCTAAGCCTTCCTATTGAACTTTACTAGAAAAGGATATTATGATCAAGAGGACAGCTGAAGAGCTAATCAGGGCAACTAAAATAATAATGCGAGCCCTGAACTACAAACGATTTAGACGACTCCGTCGCGAAAATACATATATTGCAGATATATATTACGAAGCTGACCCGGATATTGCGAAGGAAATTCTTCTGGTGGGAGAATTCTCTTCTCCTCAATGGATTCTACAAATACCTATGCAGTATTCTTACTTCCATCGTGCTTTCAGGACGAGGATCAAAATAAAGCAAGGCTCTGAATTCAAGTTCATTGTTGATGGCACTTTCATTTGCTGTCCTAAGTATCCAAGAGTGACTACAGGAAGCTACACAAATAATATTTTCAAAAAGAATCCAAACCCATCCGGATTCAACAAGAGTTTCCACTATAAAGGCATCAAGGTGATTCTGGAGGACAAATAAATGGAAGATAAATCCCTTAAACTTCCTTGGCAAAAGGTAAGAGGCTTAATTATGGTGTGATTTATTAGACCACCAACATATTTCTCTCATTCAGCTCCTAAATCTCCCCTCTAAAAGGGTTTTGAGGTTCTCCCTTCAACCACAGTTCTCTTCCCAAAATAGCTATTTATCATATTTTTCCTATGTAAGTGAGAAATAAGTCAACTCAAGATATTCACCAAACAATTTATTGTATTTTCATCGATTTTCCCAGATTTGACCAAAATTTCGTAGCTCAAGGATTAATTCAGGTAGAATATTAATATTTTCGTTTGGTTGTCTCTAGTCGGTGGCTCTATTTGGTAGGCCAGAGCCAAGCTTTGGGCTGAAGTGAGATATTAAGAAGCTTTTGGAAATTTTTAGTAGATAGCAATGTATTGAGAGTATTTGGGTTTAGAGGTGAGGAAAGGGGAGTTTTTGGAAAAAGAGTGAAACTGAGTTTTAGAGGGAGTTTAGAGTGTTTTGGAGGAAGAATTTTGAGTTTTTTTGGGTTTTTGGTTGGGTGATGGGAAGGTGGTTATTAGAATTGAGTTAGAGAGAGGAATAATAAAGTGATTATGAGAAATAGTAAAAATATTTCAGCATATCAAACTATGATCAATTTACACGAATTAGCAAATTCAAATTCACCAAACAAATCACATTCTCAGTTCCTTCTTTGCAAACCAATCTTATCCCACTTCTAGCATCACTCCTGTAAGACCTAGACAACTGAACAGCGAAGACTTAGGCTACTTCAACAGTCTCTCCCAGCTCCAACCCACTCACAACCAAAGCCTCCTAAAATGGGTAAGTACTCAAAACTCTCTGGTTTCCCTTGCAAGGCTTCTTTGCCGACCTCTCTTCCTTGGGTACTAGAGAACTGTAATAGCTCAGGCCAGATCTATACGCTAAAATCACGCTTGGTTAAGTCCTTCAGCTACTAAAACTTTTCTCAAAACTGTTGAATAAAATGAGCCAAGTTTAGAATCCCAAAACATAGGTTTAAGAAGAGTTTTAGGGACCTATTTTAGAGTTTTATGATTTAATGGACGAAATAAATCAAATATGTGAGATTTTGGAATTTTAAAAGGACAATATCATATTGAGATCGGGATAGTAAAAGGGAGAAACTAGTATGATTGTATAATATTAAGATTTACTTTATTAATTTTGTTAAGAAACAATTCATTATGCTTCTTGAGCGAAATAAACAAGTTAAAGTACCCAGATTTTTCATAGTCTCTATTAAGTCAAGAGGCAATAGAAATCAAAGTTCTCATACCATACTTCTTTCATATCTTAACCATATAAACCCATGGCTCAATATCCGTTTTCTCTGGAAATGTAACCAATATTTTCATCAATTTTCCCACAAATGGAACCTAAGCTAATAAAATATTTACTAAAATTGAAACTTGCCTGATATCCGAAATTTTAAGGCAAATCTTTAACTTTCATGATGAAGTTGTTGCTCCAAACCTAATTCGTCATCTCACAAACTGATGGAAAAATTGCTTTTGAAATGCCACGAAATTTAACGATCATCATAGGATAAAAAGAAGGAATTTGGGTTTGGTATAAAGCATCTTCAGCCTCAGAAATCAGCCAAGACTCCTCTCCAAACGATCCAGAACCCTCTAAAGTCGATGATATCTTGTGAGCATAATCAAAGTTCTCGGGACTTAGATTCTGAGTATTCAGATGATGACTTGCCCTTCCTTGATGACTTCTTTGATAACATGCCTTTCACTCCTGATATTGGGGGCTTTAAGGAGGAACATGAGATTTATGGGTAAGAAATCTTAACTAAGCTTCATTTTTGACATTGCCAAATTTTACATAAGATTTTCCAAATATCTTAACTTAGCCTCACAATTTTTATACTCACAAGCCACGACACTTTATAGTCAATGAGGATAAGCTTAACCTTATTGAAGCAAGAAGTTTCAGTTTATCATTGTCTCTCTATTAATACAGCCATAATCTTTCACAACTCTATTTCAAAAAATCTCTTCTTTAACAATTATCATTATGGAAATTTTCCAAAGATTATTGGTCTAAAACTAATAAAACTTCTCCTGAGTCTTTCTAAAGGAACCAATGAAAATAAACTATTTCTTGAATTTACTAAGATATGCTTGCGTTGCCAAAAGTAACCACGGAGATGGATACGCTAGCTAAACTTTCCTAAAATCCCTGAATGGATTTGGCCCATTTTAGGATTTCACAGCTCGATAAATGATTAGAAATTAGTATTCATACCTGTGAACTTAACATGAACATATAGGACCTCCAGTCCCATCTGCAAGGAGATTTTAGAGAGTTATACAATTGTAGGACAAGGAGTCAGACTCTCTAAGAATAAAAATCCATGCCAAGACGCCTTCTTTACGACCCAGCTCGGTATAGGAATCGCTGATGGAGTTGGGGGCTGGAATTCCTATGGTATAGATTCTTCACTCTTCTCGAGCAGTTTAATGAATCAGTGAAAGCAGATAATAAAATCGAAGGAGTATGGATCAAACAACTCTTCATCCAAGGCGATTGCTACCAGAAAAAGTATCCCAAACTATGAGTACCAGCAATCAACTTTCGCTGAGGGTCAAAGCACTTTCATCAGTCAAGGGAGAGATTTCTCAAAAATGGAAGCTTCTTTTGGGTCTCCAATGAAATCAAAAATAAGAAAGATAAGATCATCTTTCCACCTCAGCGATCAGGAGCTACATGAGTGCCCAACTCATGAAGGCTGAGATAAATCTCCTACAAGCGAAAACGCTTATATAGAGATAAAGCAGGCTCCTAGGTTAGACCCTCAACAGATTCTTAAGCAAGCTTTTAAAGGAGTCAAAGATTTCGGATCTTCCACAGCCTGAGTTGGCGCTCTAGATGGAAAGACATTAAAAATAGCAAACATTGGAGATTCAACAATGATGGTTGTAAGATACAATCCAGAATTAAAGGCTTGCAAGATTGTGCTAAGGACGGGAGAGCAGCAACACAGCTTCAACGCTCCTTACCAACTTGCTAACATTCCTATTGGGCTTCAGCCTTCCTCTTCCCGCTTTGGTGGAGGTCAGAGAAAATTCTGGAAAGACAAAGCTAGCGATGCTGTACTTTATCAGACATCAATCAAAGAAGGAGATATTATCATTGGAGGAACAGATGGCCTCTTTGATAACCTTTATTCCCACGAAATCCTTAACATAATAGACATTTTTCTAAATGATTGCTTTGAGTCCTCCCCTCAAGAGAGCCTGAAAAGTATAAATACCCATAGTTTCACTCCTGTATTCACAAAATCCCAGCTGGCTAACCTTACCAAAAGGAAGGCCAAGCTGCTTGCTCATGACTTAGTCAAAGAGGCTAGGAGAAAGAGCAAAAATAAGACTTGACTCACCCCTTTCGCAGACCGATTTAATAAAAGTAAAATCGAAAAGAAGAGCTTTTTAGTGTGGAAGGGAGGAAAGCCAGATGACATTTGTGCTGTCATCGGCTTTGTCAAGACCACCTAATCCACGATATTTCTCAATACTAGATTTCACATTTGATTTTAAATCAATAGTATTAATTTTATTAGGGGTTTTGGGGTTTTGGGGTTTTGGGGTTTTGGGGTTTTGGGG